CAAATTAGCTGTAAATTATCTAAAGAAAAAAGTGTTTTGTGTTCAGAAAAAATTTACAAAAAGAAGTTAAGATAATTGATTTTATCTGGGTAAAATAATGTTAGAATTTAACTTACTGAGTAAAAAAGTATAAAGGTAACAAAAGTTGACATATTTCAATTATATTTATTTGTTAAATTGAAGTAATTTCATCCCATATTCAAAAACAAAATGTGTGCACAGATTGATAAAAGACCCAGAACCTCAGATTTGGACCTTTGGGTTCTGGAGGGACCGATAGACTCACCGATGATGAGCGGCGGCGTGCTGCTGCTCGTCACGTTGGTTTTGCTGTTGGGCGGAAAGACCAGATTGATGATCCAGAACCCCGCGGAGAGCTGGAGCTCCAGCAGGACCAGGACCAGCAGCACCGAGCCCAAACATCCCGCGGACCCCATGTCTCTTCTCTGAGGAGGGCCGGTCCGGACAGAGGAGGAGGAGGAGGAGGAGGAGGAGGAGGAGGAGAAAAGAAGGTCACAGAAAGTCAAATTTAGCAGGAGACGTAAAAGAAGACGTTCGCTTCAGACGAAACTTTTACATCCAGCTTCAGTCCAGCAGCGAGGCTCAGAACACGGGTTCGTGTCACAAACTGACCTATTGATTCCCTGGAGTCACGTGTTATTTTTTACACAACAGGAAGTCGATGATTGACAGAGAGGCTGCTGAGCAACACAAAGTAAAGAGAGTTCATTCTGCAGATGTTCAGTAAAACATCTGCAGCAGAGAATCCACCTCCAGCTGTGAGCAGCTGCTGTTGCCTTCAAAGACCTCGTAAAACACAGCTTCCAGAGGAAATAAAGAGTTTTTACTTGGATGTGTTTGACAGGAGTTAAAGTCAACAAAATCAAAACTGATCAAAAAAAAAAAAAACTGACAAATGAGTTAAAATTTGATTTATTTGTAGCCGAGAGCATGAAATAACTTTAATGTAAAATAATGACTAAAGAATTCATAGATATACTGTATGTATG